TTGTGGGTGTCGGCCAACTCCCAGCCGACTGCGCCTCCCTGCCTAGTAAGGCCTCGTTTGGCTTACGGTGATGTCGCGAACTGCATGCACCTATGTTCCGAGGACCTGAAGTGCCTTTGCACATGTTGCCGGTGACCTGCCTGTCTGGCAAAATGCACGGAGACGCACTCCTCCCAGGATGCTCGCTCTCCAATGATTCATCCTAAAAGCCCACCTCGGCCTGCAAAACTCTCCAGATTTATTCAATGGAAAGCGCGAGCAGAGAAGATCACGGAGGCTATGCGAGACAGTTTGCGCATTGCTCTGAAGGAATGAAGGTCCTGCACTGCATCCGAGGGGAAATGCCCCTGGCAGCTCTCGAACAGATTGCCGAATCTTTGACGACCGTGCATGCAGTGCCTGGGTGTCAGTGCGGTCGGCACAGACATTGGGGTTGCAGACAGCGCTGGCTGTGTCCTGCCAGGTGTGGGCAGATGCTGTGAGGATCTTGGATTAGAATTACTATTGTTATTATTATTAGTATTATTACTATCACTGTTATTATTATTTTGTTATCACTCATATTTTTCTTATTAATATCATTATCACTATATTACCATTACCATTATTATTGTTGTGACAACACACCCTTTTGGGGAGAGTGGGCCCTGGTGGGGCACTGGGCCTCGCCTGGGCGTGTAGGCGTGGAGCTCCACTGGCCTTGAGTCGAGTCAAGGCTAAACAGTCCCTAAACCCGTTTATGCTCTCATAACTCGGACAAGCCAGGCGAGGCTCACGGGAGTCGGTGGGTTAGGGTTTAGGGTTTACCCTAAAATCTAAATTAAAATCCATTGGGCTGGCGGTCGCAGACCGGCCTCAAAGGGCTTTGTTGCATCGGCGCAAGCCTTCAACGCAGGGGCTTCCGAGTCGCAGCCGGCTTGAGCGTTCTTTTGGGGCGGTGTGGCGAACCCTGTCCACTTGGCACGCCTTTGCCACAAAGTCTCTGGCCTTTTTCTACAGAGCTTCATGGACTCAGCATGACTCAGCCCCGCATGACTTCCAGGCTTCCTGCTCAGTTCTTTCAAAGAGTCAGTGCTACCCCTGGTCATCACGGGTTGCACCTTGGGGAGCTCGCGACCCCGTTGGTCCTGCAGCCGAAATCTCACCGTTGCCCATAGGACATGGGCTCCAGAGCTCCAGACCCCAAGGCCTCTGAGGCAGCGAAGTCGAGGGGGCTGCTGTCAGTATCCTGCCAGGTGCTCACGGCCAAGCTGCCAGGAAGCCATACCAACTGTGCTCATTTGATATGCGTCCCCCCGCCCGCCCTTTGGGTCCTCGGAGAGATGCTGCGTAGCTCAGATTGCTCCAGCATCCTTCGCCCAGGCTTCATCTTCGGCATAGATCTACCCCACAAGCCGAAACAACAAACGGCGACAGGACTCCTGGCCGCAACAGCCCCCGGGGGCACGGCAACATGCGAGGCAATGATCCTGACAGCATCGCGTCACCATGACTACCAGGCTCCGACGACTGCCAGTGCACTCCTGGGAGAGGTGCTCCGCACGGGGACGATGTGCTCTGCACTCCTCGTAAAAGCGCTGTGCCCTGTGGAGCTTTGCTCAGCCAGGCTCCTCGTAGGAGTGCATGCTTGCACGTCCGCTTGACCCCTGCATTCAGTGACTTTCAATTTCAATCCACCTCTGTAACATGACCATGTGAGATCTCCTTTGTCAGGCCGTTCAAACAGACAGTGTGCTTCCTCCTGCTTTCTGTACCCAGCGATCAAGCCATTCAGTATGTTCGTTAACTCGATTTCGGGGTCCCACTGCTACTTGTTTTGAGTCTATCGAGCGCACAGGCAGAGAGGACAAGAAGATCGAGACGTCATGCAGCATCTTGACACACTCTTCGATATTTACAAAGGGGCTTGGTGCCAGACCTCGAGATGACTCTTGGCTGCAGTGTCTGCGTCGTGCTCGATGCACCAGACCTTTGAAGGACAATTTTGGTGAAAGGAGAATCTCTGTGGCTGGGATCCAGGGTCTCGGCAGCTCCCTGATTTCGGGACTCAGAGCCTGCGTTGGGATCCCGTCACCATTGAGGGCATACGCGACAGTCGCGACATCCTCTCGAGCAGAAGTGCAAGAACCATCACTTGAAACCACAGCCAAGCTCCTTTCTGGGGATCTTGTCAAGGAGTTCATGCACATTTTCCATCGGGATACAGTGCAAGTAACATGACGTCGTTGGTGTGGTAGTTTAGATTCTGTGCCTTAACATGCAAGCAAGTCTCCTGCGGCTTGACCGTCGCTGAAGAGGTCCCTGATCAGGTTCCAATCGCATGAAAACACCGGGGGAGTGACCGGCGGAGCGACGCGCCGCCTGCAGCGTCTTGCCACGTTTGCCTGGTGCGCATCGGCTGCTTGGTGCCGAATTGCTTCCAGGACCTGCGAGAGCGTTACCATCAAAGATGCTGGTGTCTGAAGACAAATCAAAACTTCCTCAGCCCAGGGCTGCTCCACGTCTGCATCTATTTGACGGAGCTCGTCAACCTGGGAGCCAGGAAGCATGGAGAATCGATGGCATTGGGATACTCACCTCCGGAACATTGTGACACAACGCTGGGCCACATGCCGCTCGTGCTCGCAGCTCCGGACCTCCGAAGGCATGCCAAATTCGCAAAACCTAAACCCTTGGAGGCCTCGGTGCAGCCAAGGGAAGAACCCATCTCGTCCAAGTCGTAGATGAAGAGCTTGGGGTAGAGTTTCTGAAGAGCGCGGCCTAGAAAGCGTCTCTCTGTCCTGCTGCTACCGTATCTGAAGAAACCATGTCCGCCAAACGAAACCAAGGAAGGGACTAAAGTCGGCAGTACTCGTTAAGAGCCCATCCTGAAGAAGCAGCGAGCTTTCCATCTGCACAGGATCCAGACGCTGCACAACAACCCCCGAGAACTGCACTTCGTCGTAGATTGCCTGTCGCCTGAGCAGTTTCAGCCATAGTAGGGCCAAACTCCCGCCCCCACACATGGCTAGTTAGTTCTCTAAACTAGGGTCCCTTTTGGGGGTCCTTTCTATGTAAGGGTGCCCTACTATATTGGGGGCCCAAAAAGGGACCCTCATTTAGAGAACTACCCACGTGATGGGCACCAAGCTCGAAGGGTACGCTGAAATAGCGTGCCACGTTTTCGCCTGCAGGAGCGTCGCAGTTTCTGCACACTGTACACCACATGAACGGTGAGGCAAGCACGCAGAGTTCCAGCAAATTCGGGCGAACGGATGAAGTCACCCATTTCACCCACGTCAAACCTGTCAAAGCACACGCATCTTACGTTCAGCTGGACTTGCAAAGCCACATTGCTGGTCAAGGTCTGGGACAACTGCCAATCGTGCAGAAGACCTCGAACCTCAACCTTGTTGGCAAGGACCAGCAGCCCTACTCAAACCCTAGACCCTAAACCTTCGTATCATAAAGGCTACTCCGCTAGGCTTGGTGTAGGGTGTCGGCACGCAGCATCCTGCTGGACACTGGCGGTGGCGGTCCAGGAGAAGACACCTCTCGGCTACTCCGAGGAGGGACATCTTGGGCGCGCTTGTCAGGGTTTTTTGCCTCCCAACTTGCTAGGACAAGCCCGCATTGCAGGGTCTTGTCAGGGTTTAGGGTTTAGTTTAGGGTTTTTCCTAAGACTTGTGAGCTAGCTTCAGAAAGCCACAACGACCAGAGATACAACCCAGACACTCGCAAGTACAGCAGCCGCCAGAGTCTGAACAAACCAGATGCAGGCTGTGAAACGTTTCTGGTCCCATCGGAGTCTGAAGTGTCACACACAATCAGATTAAATCTCGTCTCGCTGTTGTCTCCTTGCTCCTTGGCATCTTGCCATTCCTGCTGCGGCCCAGCGCTGAACTTTTCAATGCCGTCGGTGTGTCAGGCTGGGCAGGTTCCGGACAAGCCACGAGCTGATGCCATGGTTGCCACTAGCAGCAGCGCAACTTCATCAACAAATCTCAAGTCGTCCGCAGGGCCACGGGCAAACAGCTCGGCTGAGATACTCTGAATCTCATGGCCTTCTCCATCTCCGCATCTGCAACGAGGTCCGCCAGGCCACCGCCTCAAACCCCCTCCCTTCCCCTCTCACTACAATTCCGCCAATGGGGGCACTGAACTCGGGCTGCGAACCGCGGCTCGCGACCCGGACAGTTCCTGGGGCCGATCCTGCTAGCTGCACGAGCTTTTTTCATGGTGAGACTCGACACTACCGGGCCCCGAACCTGCTGTCCCAACCTGTACCTGATTCCACATGGACAGCTTGTGTGACGCATGCCGCTTCTACTGGCTATCCGGGACAGGGACTTCTTGCATCACAACCGCGGCTGCCATGCAGCCATTTCAGCGGGCACGCTTTGGGCCCGGATCTTAATTATGGATACGTAGACACGTAGAATCTGCAAAGATCGGTAGGTAGATAGATGGGTAAAATAGGCAGTTACATAGAACCATAGACACTCCCCTTTCTTCTGTGCCACTTTCTCATCAACACCATATAGGCGATGCAAGAAGAAGAGCTGCTTCCACACTGCATCAGGTCCGTCGAAGCACTATCTCAATCATACTGAAAAGCGTGCTTCAACTGGCTCTGGATCTGCGTCGTCGACTCTCGTTCTGCCATATTCTGCCCATGGTCATGAGACATACTTTTTCTATGGGCAAGAGCCGCGAGGGAAGCGAAGCAGTGCTTGAAAGCGGTGCCGGGACATGCCACGATGTCGTGTCCGATGTGCGCTACAGCTTCTCAGTCCCGGCTGATGCCCTCCCGCAACACCACAAGTGGCCGAACACAGCATCTCCATCCTTCATTGCTGGGTTGACGGGCGGCAGATCACGCTGTCGCTAGTGATGCTGTTTAAGACTGCTGCAGACCTGGGCTTTCTCGTATTGTCAACATCTGTAGACGAGCCAGCTTTTAGCCTCTTGAAGCTCCAGCTCTTCCGACCAGTGACTGTGGGCTACATGGGGCTACATCTTCACCTCAGGGCTTCATTCACCAGAGAGTGGCGGAAGAGCATGAGGCATAGATACGCGGCAATTCCAAAGTGCCCCAACCTCGGCTAGACCGCGAGAGAGTACAACTCCGTCAATCTGCGTCTCATGCAAAGACTCCAAGGGAAGCGCTCGACGAGAATCCCAGCCAAATCCGGCAGCTGCCCACTCCAGACGTCTCCGAAATCCTCCAACTATGCAGTGCAGCCTTTACTTAACTTTACTTGGGCCACGGAATTCCTGCCTTCAGCAGCTGGCAAGAGAGGCAGTAGAACACCTGCACTGCCAAGCGGGCGCAACACAACGAAAACCGCACGACTCACTCTTCAAAGTCGTGCCAGCGATGCCACGAGCATCAGCAGCCCGATCACAGCCAAGAAAGCATGCCACAAGCAGCGGAAGATGACAGTGTCCTACCGCAGGATAGAACACTAGGGCTGCTGTCCGGGATCTATAGCTCTCGAATCCTTGTCCGAGAGCCGAGGATCGAGGAGCAAACGCGCCGGCCACATTGTCCAAGTCACACGCAGCCTACAAAGGCGCATCTGGCGAGCACGGTGTGTGCTTGTCTCTTGCCACTTGCTCTCCTTGCTTCTTCCCGGCCCTGTTTGTCGGCCTCGGCAAACAGAAGGATCGAAGTACGAGACCTTGTACGAATCAGATCGTGGGGACCCCGAGTCCCGGACTCGCTGCAAGCGGCTAGTCCGGGCGAGCACGGCCGGCGCATCGGTCGCAGCAGCGTCCTCTTTTGGCGAGACAGGAGCGGCGCCGCTACGCTTCGACTCCTCTGAGATGCTGGCCGCCAGCTCCCGGAAGGCATCCACAACCGTGGCCCCATCGCCCTGTGTTGGAGCACAGCCCTAAAGCTTTTGGTACAGGTGAGGAGCCGAACAGCGCGCTATGCCCAGGCCCACCTGGAGCTGCAATCCCTTCTGCACCCTTGCGGCTACGTCGCTCTCGCGCATGAAGCGGACCTGCAATCGGACTGCGGCCAAAACGAGCAGCCAAGCTGTTTCAGGGAGCCAAATCCAGGCGGACCCTCTTCAAGGCTGTCCGTGAAGCTTCGAAGTCATCCTGGAGCGGAGTACGAAATTAACCGGCGAAGTGACTGCTCAACAACCGCCTCGAAGAACTTGCTGAGTGGCAACAACAAGGCCTGCGAGCACTGCAGCTGTATTCCGACGTTGACATGTTGACTTTCACGGCCCTGGCGTCGCCTCTGTGTCGTAAGAACTAAAAAGGAAGAGCAGAAAGACAATCGCTGGCACGAAGTAGAACACGGCCACCTCCAACTCACGCAGTGCTTTAAGAAACCATCCGGGAATGGCATCTTGACACACGAGCGCCTGGTGCGCATCGTGCAGCACGTTGGCGGCCATCAGCTTCCTGACCACATTTCTCAGCATCCAAATCACATCCATCGCATGCTGCTAAGCTGTCGCTTCGATTCCGGAAATCTTGACAAAGACGACTCGCCGATCCGAGTCAGGGATCCTAGCACATTGTTGATAGGCAGCACAGCACAAGCTCTGCCATGCTCTGCCAAGCTGCTGCGCACTGCTCGCCAAATCTCCCAGCTTCACTAGGTGAAAGGCTTCGCGGTGGGCCTCGTCGCGTGACGCCGGGTGACGAGTCTTCCTGCCGATTCCTGCCCTCTCAGCAACACCCGGCTCGGGCGGCGCACCAACCAGATGTTGATGATGAAGTGCGGGAACGCATTTGCAAAGCACCAGAGCAGCAAACGAAAGAGAGGATCCTCTGCGCTGCTCTGCTCTCAAGGCCACAAAGGCTGAAAGGCCAAAAGGCATGAGCAGGAAGACGGGAGGGGGCGGGTGGTGTGTCCTCGGAGGCATGGTTTGATTTGTCAAAGCTGATAAGCAGGTCGTGCTTGAGGAGTTGGTAGTAGATGCGGTGGTTTAGCACCATTCGAGTCCTTGGAAGGTTGATCCGAGGACACCGAGGCAGTATGGCTTTGGGGGTCCGACGCCACCATGAGGGACACAGCCATCGCTAGCAGCGGGAAGCAGCGCACATAGGCCTGCTGCCAGCGCCAAGAATGAACACAGCCTGCATCCCAACACATCCGCCTTCGTGTACTCACAGAAGATGGACAAGTACCATCCGCACCTGCCCAAGGGAAGAAAGGAATGCTGACACAACAAGCCACCAGATGTTCCGGAAGAAGGCCCATACAGCTTAAAGCCGAAAGCTCCAAGGCGCCTCACAGGGTCGCAGTTCATCACGTTCTCGTGGCTGTGGGGCCCAAGCACCTCGACGCATGGCTGAATCTTGGTGAAAGCATGGCTCGATCAGGACCACTGCCCATGCCCGGGAAGAATCAGCAAGGCACTTGCACCAGGATGAACACCAAGGCAAAGAGTTGACGTCCTCAATTGTCAGAAGCTTAGCGTCGACACTTTGTAGTTTCTCGTCCCCTGAGCTCCGGTCCGGCAGATACGCCGGCCTCAACGAAAAGGTCCCATGGCTCCCTGGAGCTGACAGACAAAAAAGGAAGGATGCAGAAAGTAGGACTCCAGTTGACGCGCACAACTCGTACCTACGAGATCCCTACTTCCATTACTTCGTCGACCTTGGTCGGGTCTCGGTCTCTGCCTCAGGCCACCACCCTCGTATTTCCCATGCCGACCGGGACTTCACGGCGCCATAGCTGTGGTTGAGGCCACTGGGAACATCCTCTGAGTCTGCCTCACGAGGCGGCACCTCAGGGAGTACTTCAAGCCCCTCGCGATGCTACAGCCGCCACAGTGCTGTCCTGCCCTGAGCTCAAGCACCGCCTGCAACAAGGCTCGCTCCTGTCACGGAAAACGAGAGAAGCCTTAGAGCGGCAAGGCCAAGCGGGCCTCTCCCAGCCGAAAGCGGTACGGCGTCAGAGGTGTCTGCATTGCGGGAGCCGAAAGGCTGCACAAAAAACAGCTTTCGGACTCTGCCTGCTGCCTGGCAACCACCCATGACGGATATAAATCAACGTATTCACACCGCTTGGGCTTGGAATGACATTTTCCCCCTCCTTCCAACTCTGAGATGCAGGTATCCAATCCCATCAGCTGCTATCAGAGCAGTCAGCTGATCTCCAAAGATTCCACCACGTCGTCGCCAAAGATGCGGCGACAAAGCTCCTGCCAAGGCAGAGCGTGCTGGCTAAGAGCACAAGAGCCGATCGCAATGGCCTCCTCAGCCTTTCGTGCAGCAGGGATCCAGGAGAGGTCGGAGGCATCTCGGCAGTCACAGAAAGGTTGCAGCGCGGCAGCGGGTAAACCGCCTCAACTTTACGATCATTCATTCCTTTCCGTGGAGTGTGGCCGCTCCGGACCTCCTTTTTCAAGTTCAGCCTTGCAGGCTCTACCTCGAACCCTATGCGTCACGAATCTCCCCCATGATGCCCCGACACAATGCTTGCAACAGCCACATGGAGCGAATCCGCGCCGTGCCAAGAAAAGCCGAACCAAGAAAGCTCTGGCATCCGGAACCAACTAAAAGAGAGGGAAAAGCCCACATAGACCAAGAGCAAGAAGTGTTCAATGTTCATGCTCCAGCTGCTTCAATTCCTCAGGAGCTTGAGATCGGATTGCTGGCGGACTCTCTGCTAGCGAAAACATTCAGGAAAAACACTTGGGCCCTGCTTCCAGCACTGCAACAATGGCAAGACTCCAAATTTTCCTGAAAGCAAGCATGACTGGGCACCTGGAGTGTCGAATTCAGCTTGATCAACTTCGGGTTCGAGTTCATGCATGGCGATGTCGTGCACGGACTTCACGGCCAGATCTTGCCCGCTGAATGCCACTTGGCATTGGGGGGTCTCGAGGACCTCTCGGCCGCTTTCAATTGCTGCGGGATGGGGTGCAGCCTGCAGGGCCTGCAGGGGAAGGCGCTCCATAATGGGGGCTTGGGGGGCTTGGGCTTGCAGAGCCACCGGGGCAGAGAGGATGGGGCCTGCCGCGACCATCGCGGTCTCGACGGGGCCTAATTCCCGGTCGGCTGTGGAGCTCAAAGCTCCAATCTCGTAGAGGAAGCGAGATGGCTCCGCGACCTCGGGCATTGGCACTGCGACATGTTGCAAGTTGAAACGCGCTCTGGCTTCAGCTACTGGCCCGCCCTAGCCTATGCAGCCACTGCCAAGTGTTGCAAACAGACCAGTCAAGTCCCCAGGCCCTAGAAAACGACAGTGCTTCGGCCCCGCACCTGTCCCGATTCATGGCGCAAGGAAAAGGAAAGAACCTCAGCACATGTGAGCACCGACCGCGACAGTCAGCAAGTGCCAGAAGTGCTGTGATTTGTGGAAGTGTGTCTGGGTGGGCCCTGGGTGGAAAGCCCACGTGGCTTTTGAAGTTGAGTGCCAATTCAACCCGAGAGGCGAGATGATCCCTGGCCCGCGTCATGGCGACATAAAACAGCCTCAGCACAGAATATCTGCAGAACACGAAGGCAGCCACACCCCGTGCAGAAATCCGCGCTGGGCAAGGTGAGGCAAACTTACCCCTGTGCGAGCCTTTGAGTCGATTTGTTTTTCTGAAGACCGCTCAGGCAGGCAGTAGCAGTTGCAGTTTCGAAACATCCATCACGAGACTTGATCATCGAGCTCACAGAGATTGTGCACGACCGGCTGCGAAGGAGTGCCCCTGCAAGAGCCTTCGCGCTTGGGGGCCAAGGCGAGTCCAAGGGTGGACCTCGCCTTCAAGTCTTTCTGTCAAGTGAGGTTTATGGGGCTTTTCCCCAAGCGGAGGTTCGCGAAAGGGTTTCACTCTTGGCCAGTGATGCGCCGCCAGAGTGAGCCCCGTGTGACGCTCACATCGTCATCCTTTCCAGCTGGGCGGGTGCGAGTCTCTGCACTTTGAAGCAAAGTCCCCGCGGCTCCCGAGTCCTTCATCAACTTCTCCGTCTGCTTCCGATCTGGAATCAGCCAGGGCAGAAGCCTGGGACTGAGAGGATGTAACTCCAGGACCCTTGGCTTCAACAGCGACTTTTGGGCGGCCGACAGCAGCACAAGCGCTGGAAGCACGGAGGAGATGGCGGAGGCGACCCAGAGGTTCCTCAGGCGGCAACTGGGCCGGAGCTTGCTCTGCCCGCGACAGCTTTTCCCCAAAACCTCTCCGCCGCCAGGGCTCCGAAATTGATCTGACTCCTTGTTTGCACCTGATGGCTGCACCTCGCTACACGCACACGGGAGGCATGGCACTCCCTCCAGGAAGTGAAAACTGGCACAACTGGCATGTCTGGCCCTTGAACCCATCCACAGCACCTCCAACAACTCCAACATAAATGCGCCGGTGGAGGATGCGATTGTGCCTTGCACAGGCATGGGCTGTGACCCTGAACGCAAGAAGGCCTTTCCAGACTTTGGGCGAACCTCCCAGGTTGTGGCATCCCGCCAGGAGGGCATACATGGTGGCCTCAGAGTGCGAGCCCTGACGGCTCCATAGCAAACCTCCGAAGACGAAGAGCCGAAGCCGAGGCTTCAGGGGCCCAGCCTCGAGGCCCGGAGGACAAAGCTGCGACAAGATGACGACTCCCGGCCTCAAAGGCTCGAGACTCTCTGTCTTGCCAAGGGCTCCATGGGAGGAAAGAGTTGTGTCCCTTGCTCTATTCCCGACGCTACAATATCGACTCCTGGCGAGTGACAGGATCACAGCATGTGAGCTCCGGGCATCCATTGCCACTGGCTGAGGATCGTGGCGAAGACGCTGCTACCCAGGATGAAGGCATGATCTGGAATACCTGAGAAGTAAGCAGCTGGGCTGGATGGAGCTTTACGGGGCTTCGGGCTGCTTGAGGCTTGTACTGCGTTGGGTTGGCTGCCGAGTCCTACAACCGCCTAAGATGTCAGAGCTGCCCTCCACGACCACGACCGCTCTGGTTTGGACTCTCCAGAATTGTGATTTTCGCCAAATACGACACTCAAGGGCCAAGCGGGCACCGAGCGGTTCGAAACGCCACCATGCCCTCTCCCTTCAATGTACAGCTCTAAGGATTGGTTCGAGCCGAATCCCATCACGAAACGATGTGCCCCCCTCCCCGCCCCGCAGCCTGCAAATGACACACGAAGCATGATTCCTGATGCTCTCAGAGATACCAATGCGCGTGTTGAGGCGCAAGAAGAAGACCACGTCCGTGACACTGAGGACACAAAGCGCCACATTGCTGACCAGCAGTAGCTGACGAAAGCTCCAGTCACTGGCATACTTCCTGGGTGAACAACCGGGAGGCAGTTGGAAACCAAAAGCGAGCGAGAATCTGAATGCAGAAAGGGGGCTGGTAGGTATAGATGCCAAACAAAGAGAACACCGAGCCGGTGACTCCGAGGACGGTGGTGTAAAAGACCTGGAGACGAAGCGACAAGAGAGCTGTTGCAAGAAAGCCGCCTGTTCTAATCTCGGGCCTTGGAGAAGTGAGGGCCCTCGGGATACTGCTCCGCAGTGTCGGTGTAGAAATAGAAAGAAGCGCCACCCACGGAAAAGTTCACTGCAGTTTGGAGGCAAAAGAAAGCATTCACTTTGGCGATCTCCGGTCGCAGGAGGAGACTGAATGCCGAGATGATGACCACCGCCACCACCACCGAGGCAATAGCATTGACCTTGACATTCTGCAGGGTTGTGCCGATGACAGTAAGCAAGAGGGTGGAGGCCATCATAAGGAGGCAGAGAGCACAGGCCTCCCTCTGCTGGAAGATCAAGGCACGTGCAGCTCTGAGATCATCCGCCGTGAGCCTTCGCTCTTGGAGGTAGTTTTTCATCAAGGGCACCACGATGATGCTCGAGGGCACCAGAACCACAAGGAAAGGAAGCTTGGGCCCAAAGTGCGACATGATTGGCCCGACCATCAGCATGGCAACAAGGCCTCCACACTGCAAGCCAAACCATACAAAGGACATCAAGGCAGGTCCTTCACTTGGCTTCGTCTGCATCTTCTCGGCATACTTGGCTTCTGTCAGCAGGTCGGTGGTAGAGAGTTGCAGCTGGATGAGGAAAAGGCAGAAGACCAGGCTCGTGATCGTCAGCTGGCTTTGTGGCACGGAGCCAATGCATGCGGTGGCTGCCGATCCCAGGACGGCCACCAGAAGGATATAAGGGCCTTTGTTGTAGCCCAATATCGGCATGGTATCACTGAGCAAGCCAATCATCGGCTTCATGGCCCACGGAAGGTGTGTCACCCCGCGATAAACTTGCATCTGCGGTCCGGGTACTCTGTAAGCACCATAAAGGAAGTTGATGCAGGGACTGGTGAACTCATTGACAAACCCCTTCATCAAGTGCTGGGCTACAAAAAGCATCACCAGCAGTTCGTAGCCAAAGCTGGACTCTAACTGTTGGATGTATGGCCCTAGGCCACATCCTGAACTCAACCATGCCAGGTTGCTCAGGTTGCTTGGTTTCTGCACTTTCTCCTGAATTAACAAAGGTGCCTCCTCGTCCTCCTCCTCGCCTGGCTCGCCTGGCCTGTCGTCCTGGAAGGGCTCATTGGAGGAGCCTGCCTTGCTGCCACGTTTCATGGCTGCGGCAGCATGATTCACATGAAATGGAAGGCTTGGGCCATCCTGCGGAAATCCTGTGTTCCACAGCAGACAGGTTCAAGGGGTCCAATGGTGCGCGATGGGGCGCGTGCTCACAATCCACACATCTTGCCCTCCTGAGTCCAGCGACCGGCGCTCTTCTTCTCCGCCGTCTTCGGAGCTACCTTGCCTCGGGCCATGCAACCCTCGAGAGTTGCCAGACCCCCCATTCCCCGAGCCGTGCACAGTGGCAGTACCATCTCGTTGCACTGCAAGATGAAACCGTGTGCCACTCGAGTCCTTCCCGCAGCTATGGGTTCAAGCCGGGCTGGCCAGATCTGGGCAGATTCTTCCAGGCTCGGAAATTGACGTCCTTTGGCCTGATGGATGGTGCTCACCTCAGCATCAGAAGGGCACTGCGCAGTGTCAATATAGTAGAGGCGCGCACAACTCAGCCGGAAGCAAAGACGCAGTCTGTGCCCTCAGGAGCCGAAGCCGACGAACCACAGCCACCCAAGCCTGGTCAACGTTGGACCAGATGCTTTTACACCCGTCAGCTCCGGCAACAAACGATGCCCCTTGCCCGCTTGCGTTACTCAAATCTGCCTATCTCCGGCCCGATCCTACTCGTCTGCCGCGAGGACCCCCGACCCCAGAGTCTACATTGCGACCTCAACGCAACTCAACAAGCACAAATTTATCTGGCCTCCGCCCACCGCCGAGTCCTGCAGGAACTGCACCACGCAAGCTGCAGCCACGGGGGCTTCCTGAGAGCATGGAGAATCTAACATGTCCACTGAGCTGCAGCCGCAAAGCTGAAACTCAAGGGGTTCTTAACATCCACAGCATGCAGTCTCCTTGCCATCAACTTAGGCCCTCGCAGCACAAACGGTGAATTTCTCCGCTGCGGCAATCATCTGCCCAAGACAAGCCTGACGCAAAGACATGCTACACGATAATTTCCAAAGCTTGCGCACATCACCTTGTCGTCCCATGCTGGTGCATGCTGCGGTGGCGTGGCACATGCGAAGGTAAGTGCCGGCTGGCAACGTGAATAAAGATGAGTCCTCGTGACTTCAGGTATCCGCTTGAATTATGGCCATAACGCTGATAATGAGTCACGATGATAATCAATTGCAATACCGTCAATAAATCATGACAGTATTGAAATTGAAATACTACTATTCAATGAGTAATGACCGTCATACTAGTACAGATGAATAACTGCCGTAAGGACGAAATGATGGATGACGACGGTGCACTACTGTTAGTGAAGGCTCTTCATACACGCCTTCATCTCAATCGCTCTCGTGACTGACTCTCAAAGCTAGCGTGCCTGTCCCGCTTGGTCCATGCCTGAGCATTCACAAGCACTGGTCAGTAGTTCTCAACTCGATTGACCAAGTATGCGGCCACTGGGCTATAGCTCGTCTCATGCCCGCATCTCTCTTCGTCTACATACTGCCACGCTGTGACATGTCTAGATATGCTTGTTGCCGAAGACCCGTGAAGCTATGACCAAGCTGAACGGCATGAGGGGTTGGAGACCGAGTCTTTTGACTTCCTGGCAGCCCCTAAGCCGCTAAGATGCGGAAGCATCCGGCTCTGCACCAAGCTCCTGGCTGCCCAATCCTGTCTGTGCCATGATGACTCGGAGCACATCCGCCGCGCTGCCGCTTCCCTGTCACAGAGTGACGGGCTTCGGGGCTACGCTTCGAGGCTCCCAATGTGCGTCCATTGTCCGTGTGGCCGCTGCTCGTTTGGTCCGGTTTGGGCTCGGGCATTCTGAGCTGCTCTGCGCGCAGCATGAAGAGCAGCGGCCAAGCTGCTGAGCCCTTGGTAATTTGCCAAGTTTTCTTCATTCTGGGCCTTTTTGAGGCCTAGAGTCTATAGGAGCTGGGGGTTGGGGCCGGAGTGGGGTTTTACCAACTAGCTGCAACCCTCTAGTTCCCAGATAAGCATACTGCAAAGCCATATAGCTTGCCTAGGGTGTGGGGTATGAGACTTGCTTGGGCGCGGGCCTTGTGCAGCTCTGGCGTTGGCGCCCAGCCACGGGGCCTGCGAATACAACCCGTCCAAACGAGCGCGGCTTTGAAGCTCCGGTCCTTCAAGAGCCGTCCCATCGCACCCTCCAGGGATCCAGAGGCGGGTTCACCAGGGGCGCCTCGTTCTCACCCAGCAGGACACATGGTGCACTGGGGGAGCGGCCCCCTGTTTTTGACTCAGCTGCTGGGCCGCCATTGGTCGACCCGGCAAGGCTTGCTGCACGAGACACCACCTACAGGCAGAGAGAGTGCTAAGGAGGCAGCACTATGCCTGCCAAAACACCAACTACCCCGCACCTCCTGCAGATTGAGGGCGCCAACCCCATCCAGAGATGAAGCCCTCATGTGCAGTACTGTAGCGATCTCATATCTGATGGCATAAGGTCTTCCTGGAGCCTTGGAGCCTGCCTTCCAACTGGGGACCCGACCCCCCTCCTGCAGGCCGAGCAGGAGCCCCGAACTGCTCCCGCAGGCAACGAAGGGCCGCCTCTTTCACAGCACGCTGGGGGAGCCGTTCTCTGAGCCTTCAACCGAGGCGTGTCCTTGCCAACACCACGACGAGGAACATTGTACACGCGAAGGAAGGACCTCAACTGCACTCTCGCCCCGTCACCTCCAGCCACAGATTGCGGTGGCCCCAGTCTGCTTTCACCAGCTCAGCTCTTGGCACATCATGGTGCGGGTCCACGACCAGCCTCAGGTACGCGAACAAGTCGAGCACCTCAAGCGATTCTTGCGGGAGAGCGTTGGTTCATTGGGTTGAGCTCAGCCCATCCATAGTTCGCTGGGTTCACGCACGACGGAGGCACGGGCTGCGCCTGAAGTTCCTTGCGTTCGCTGGTTCGGAAGCATCTGCCGTGGGACATTCTGGACTTGAGGCTGCTGGCTGCTGCTGCGTGTGGCCGCTGTGGATTGCCAGGTTGGAATGCTCATCTGGGCAAACACCTCCGACAAGCTTCTGAGAGAGGGTGTACTGCAGCAACCCACACAAGTTCCCGGCCTGTAGTCTGCTACACCACGACAAAAATTGAAAGAGTCAATGCCGGACTGCGGGTTTGGAACCGAAGTTGAGCCAATCAAGAACTAGGTCTGACCAATGCTGCCTGGGCCGCGAAGGAGGCTGAAGCGTTCGTGCGTACCAGCACCGCAAATGAACCTCGGTCTTCGTAAAGGCTGGCACTTTGAAGTTTGCGCCCGGTTCTTGACCCATCCTGTATCTAGTCTTGACTGGCTTTTCGCTGTCGAGTGCCAGGCCCCACGAAGTGCCTTCTCCTTTCTGTGTTGCAGCATTGCATGGAGATGCAAATTCAAGGCGGGACATCCTCTGTGCGATGACAGGAAAGCTCATTTGGCGAGTGCTTGTCCTTGCCCCGTGCCTCGCAATCTTCGAAGTTCTTCCGCAGCCCAGCGAACTTCGGTCGATAATGTCTCTTTGGCAAATGCTTGGACCTTCACAACAACTGCTGGCATAAGTAGCGGCATAAGCCTACTTTATTTCCTGGAACAGTTCTTGGATTCTCGTTCTACCCTCTTCGGTGCCACACGAGAGAAACAAACTCTACAAGGCGCATCCTGCGGATCGCCCAGAAGACCATGAGGATTCGTGCGAACATGTGTGAACCCCCCAAAAAGCTCTGACATAAATACCCTCAACATCCCCTCAACTTTCCTAAGCCTAAGCCCTAGGCCCTAGACCTGGACTTGGACACCGCCAGCAGGCCTGTGCTGTGGGCCCGTCGGAGACAGTTGCCGGACGCGCAGGCCTGCAGCTCCCGTGTTGTCACACATCCGGCTCGCTTGCAAGCTCCGAAAACATATCCCACGCGGGTCCTCACAGGTCCCAAGCTACAAAGAGCTGGGTCTGTGACCACAGCTCTTTCTCCTCACGCTGGCGGTTGTGGAGGATCAGCTTTTTCGAGGCTTCGACGAGGTGGGGCCTTCCAAAGTCTTGTAGAAAGCACAGCACGTAAAGGAGCACCGAAGCTCTTCGGGGCGCTGACAGCGAGCGTCTGTTGGCTCCCAAGGTTTTGAGCTGTGCTCTAGGCCAGTGGGAACGAAAGGCCTGAAGGAAAGCACAGAAGGATTTCAGAATCTATTGATTTATCAAGCTGCGAGGCCTCTGCGGGGGTGCTCGTTTGACCTCTGCGCCAAGCATAGATGCGTTGGTCGTCGTCTCCTGCCAGTTCTGCTGCAGTTACGGCTGCTTGCTTGCAAAGCTTCCCCGCGGGCCTACAGCTGTCACGGTCGTTCGATGGGCAAGAAGCTTGGCCAGGAATTGCGCCTGCTCTTTGTCAGTATCCTCCAAGGTTGGGAGCTTTGCACAAAGGATCGCGAGAATGGTGACCTGGCCAACGCACCTGCCACTCGTCCACGAAGAGCATGTGCACGAAGTTCGCGGCCTCTGGCACCGGCCCAGGCGTTTCGCTGAGACTCTTTGAAACTTCGCCAAAGGCCACTGCCCAGCAGAGTCCAGGAGATCCGCGGTCGTCATCGTCGAGCAAGCTGTGACATGCATTTGTGGAATAAAGCTCCAAAATCACCATGCTTCATGGCCTCAAAGCCAAGCCTATGACCTCTGAGACGTCCATGAGACGTCGCCGTCGGAGTTCCTGGCCAAACGAGGAGTGCAAATGAATACATCTTCGGCGATGACTGGTGTCTCGCCATTTACGCGGGCACTGGCAACATGAACCTGTTCGGTGCCGGCTTATGTGACGTGTAACACTCATCTCAGATGTCGCAGATGGATATTTGCCGCGATCGCTGAGGCATGTGCTTAATGTGCTTCATGCTGCTACCGGATCTACTGCCTGCACGAAGCTGTTGTGCGCGTTTGCCAGCAGAGGCTGCTCTTCCAGAGCGACCTGGAACGTGGCATCTCTGGCTTCGTTCGGTACAGCTCTACAGCATTTCTTCGAGCCCGTCGCTCCGTCCCGCTTCTGGCGGCCGACATGCTCCATCGCCTCGGCTCCAGCATCCCCCACAAAAGCGAAGCGCCACAGACGCCACGCCAAGCCATGCCAAGCCATGCAGCCCGCAAGAACTTCGCTGCCGGATCGCCCTTCTTCGTGCCCTGGGCCAGGGCCAACAACACGGAGAGGCCCGCCTTTCAAGGCTGGGGCGGAGGCTGGGGCATCGTCCGCGCCACAGCTCTCCTGCACCGCACATCCTCCCCTCTTGTGTATACCGCTCAGTTCTAGTTGTGGTCTGCATTCATGCATTGTGCGTCGGATCTTCCACACACACATTATACGCAAGAGAGGCTTCGGCGCGGCACGCGTTCACGGTCAAGGGGTGATTTTCTGCTGTGCCGTGCTGCTTGTTGCTCCTGGGTATCTCGCATTCTCCACGCAGCATACACGTTGGAGTTGTTAGTCGCCGCAATATGCACAAGCTCACGAACTTTCTGTTTCAAGACCTCCTGTAGTAGCCTTTTAAACTTTCCGTTCCATCTGCGAATCTGCTTCCATGGGTCCTGTCAGGCCTGGGGTGTCACTGTTGCCCAGCTGGGTCTTTCGTATGGGTACTGGGCAGCAAATGAATTGAACTTGTGAGGCTTCAATCCCAGGCGACAGCAGGACGGGCCAAACAGGAAACAGCAACAGCCACTAGGCAGAGAGCAGCGGAGTTTGCACCACATGTCCGACTGTCGTTCTAAGCAAATCCTCCAAGGCAGCGTCTGGCAAGGCCTCGTCATGTTTTCCAGCCAAAGACTCAAGGGTCCAAGGGACGAGGTTCTTAGCTTTGCTCAGCATGCGGGCCTGCAAGAATTGGACTAGCTCTGGCTGCTCCAGCACCACTCGTGCGGCAGCTCGGCGATCCTCGCATATGATGGGGAGAACTGGCATCGCGTTTTGGCTCTGCTTGGCTGCGACAAGCCGACATGTCCGACCGACTTCCCTGCATGGTGCATGAACCGGCTAAAACATGTCCTCCCAGTACAGATTCAGCAGGACACCGGTCGGGCGTTCACCCGCAACAGGTTGCATGCAGCCGGGCGTGTGGCGTCCTGATCTGAGGCTGCACGGCCGGGCAACCCCCTCCGGCCTGTCAGCAAGCAGTCATGCATGTGGTCCATAGGGCATGTACCGACATTAGCTCCGTCCCTGTTGAATTGCGCGAAAATTGCTGTCCCAGGCCTCCAGCCTCGCGCAGGAGCCTGCCCGAAGGGCGAGTTTGCACAGCCCCAACTCCCGTAACGTTGGACAGGCTGATTCAATCACCCCCCAAGATTAGCTTGTGGGAACGTGGCAGGGATTCTCCGAAGTGTTCTACCGTGACATTTTGCACTGACCGTCCGAAACACTTCGGATCGTTGAGCAGCCGGTTGCCGGCCTCAGCGCCAGCCCGTGCACAGTGCTGATCCAGACCTGCCACAAAGGCGTGTCAGATAATATAGTTTGTACACAGGAATGGATGACAGAAGTTGTGACAAAACATAAGCAAAGTGTAATCTACAAGCTACAGCAGCTATGTATGCGTGTGTGCTTTTGTGTGTGTGTGTATGTATGTAGTCATACACGTATATGTATACGTATATATGTATGTGGGGGCTGTTCTTTATTATGGTTGCAGCCCCTGTCTCGAAAATCGCCTTGCGCTTCGCCCTTGCGCACTCTTGCACGCACACGTACACAGATTCCCACCTTGTAGCCTTGATAATCCAGGACTTCTAGCCGGAAAAATTGCAAGTCCAGAATCCGGCTTGAGATTTTTCGGGCAGGGAACTTGGGTGGGTTTCCAAACACCTGCCACGCAAATGGAATGGGGCATTGGTCGAAGTTGAAGGGTGCCCAATGAGCCGCCCTTGCGTGCGCCTTTGGCGCGCTGAACCCTGTGTAAACCTGATTTTTGCTGTTTTCGGATCTGTGCTAAATACAGGTAGTAGTACTGGTAATAGTACTCCTAGTAGAAGTGGTAGCAGTAGTAGTAGTATTTCTGCCACTCACTTGGCACGTCAATGACAACATGATCATTCGCAGGTCTCCAGCTGAAGCAAGTCCAGTGCAGTATTGCCGCCATGGGATCGCAAGGAGATGGTGAGACAGCAGCCTAACGGGGTCTCCAGGTCAGGTAACTGGAAAGCAAGGTGGTGGTAGCAGTAGCAGTAGCAGTAGCAGTAGCAGTAGCAGCAGCAGCAGCAGCAGCAGTGGTAGTAGTCGTCGTGGTGGTGGTGGCGGGGGTGGTGGTGGTGGTGGTGGTGGTGGTGGTGGTGGTGGTCGTCGTCGTCGTTGTAGTAGCAGCAGCAACAGCAGTAGCAGTAGCTCAGTAGCAGTTGTAGCACGTCGAAGGAGCAGGAGCAGCAGGAGCAGGAGCGGGAGCAAGAGCCGTAAGTACCTTCTTACACTACTTATCGCTATGCGCTCGCCCTTGCGCCCGCTTGCTCCGTGCTGGTTTGGGAGCGGGTCCTAAACCTGCATCAAACCATTAAAATGCCCTGCTAGCCTACGGTCAAGATGCATGTATACATACGGTACCTTCACACACATCCACGTCACTGGTTGTCACTTGTGCACCTTGCTGCCGGCCGGCCCTGCGAGCTTTCGAACCCGCTGCGATAACTCCGCGGCCGCCTGGCGCTTAAGGCATGTTGTTGTGTAGGGGTGGTGGGGCTTCAGCTTTAGGGACTTTAGGGCTTATACAGGGGGTTGAAGCCTTGTCGTGTTCACGCCCTCTTAGAGAGTCTGAAGAGTTCAGTCCCAAAGAAGAAACGAAGACCGTGGCAAAGTCGTTTCGCATCCGGCAACTCCCCATGTGCTCACTCTGGCAATCTCTTGTAATCAACTCGCACTTGCACGCCCATGCTGTGCCGTGCCTTCCGTGTGTACGTCACGGCAACGATCACCTGGCCAGAGCTGTCATCTTAGGCTTGCACTTGAGGCTGGCACGGCAACGGACCCCGCATGCTCAGAGCTGGTGTGCAAGGAGTGTTGTGTTTTCACTTGACGGTGGTTCGTTGCCGATGCCGCTGCCGGTAGAACACGTACTTGCAACTTGTTCTTTTCTTAGAGGGTTTTTGTCTTGGGCCACGCGCGCGCCGGGTTGGTTGGAGCTGAGTGCGGTGGTGGGGTAGTGGAGGGTAGGTGGGGTAGGCGGGGCAGGTGGGGTAGTAGATTTGGCAGGTGGGCTAGGTGGGGTAGCTGGGGTCAGTAGCACAAAAAGGAGAAAGTTACATCCAAGAGGAAAAAGTTACATCTACGAAAGCATTAAAAGAGCTACAACTAAGCCCTGTACCACCGCTGCCGGCGTTGCTGGTTACTCCTCTTGCTGTCGTTGCTGCTGTTGTTCTGCAAGCATGCCATGCTTCTCCCTGCCCACCTAGGTCAGCGCTACAGTGCATGTGGCAAGGTGGCATTGTTTGCCCTATCCTGGTACCAAAACAGAGCGTCAGAATCCTCAGGCCATGCTTATGTGTTGTCGCTCTCCGCTTTGCTGCTTGCTGCCCTGGTGGCAAAGCATGCACGACCAGAGCTGCATGAGCTAGACAGGCCTGGGGCGGAGATGCCGACAGTGCACGCGTGATGCGGCATGCCAGGAAGTGTGTCTTGCCACTACCAGGGCCGGCCAGAACAAGGAGTGGGCAGTCCAACCTGGGCAGAGCGTTTTCCTCAGGCTCGAACGAACTTACGACTCCCCACGCGTGACAACAAAGCCTGTAGTTCATTACCGCATTTTCACTTCGTGCGCCCGTTGAGGTGCTGGCGGCTCGTCAACGGCGCTTTGCTGCTCCGGTGAGAGGTCGGGCAGCTCAATTTGCCTCGGAGAGGAGAAAGGCTCAGGAGCATGGACCATGCCTGGGCTTGGGCTTGGGCTGAGGATCCAGCAACGTCCCGTGGGGATTCGGCCTGGTGGCCTTTGGAAAGCCTGCGTGGTGGGTGGGCTGGAAGGCTGGTGTGCCGGAAACCTGCTGGAGGCCCGCGAAAGTCGCGGGTTGCGCGGGCGCAGGTGCTGGGTGTATTGGGTTCGGCATCCAGCTTAGATTTGGCCTGGGATTCTCGCTTGGGCGGGCACTCAAGCCCATGTCAGGGACAGCTGTCGACAAGAATCCGTCTGGCATCTGCCAGGCTGCCTGATTCAGTTGCAGATTCTGAAGACCCAAGCTTGGCCGTCTTCTTCTGTGAGAGAGAGTGAGTAGCAGCCTCGATTCAGTGTCCCTTTTTCCGGGGGAGTGCCGAGCCTGCGGTGTGGCGACTCGCCGAGGCTCCGGATCTTCGGCATGTCGTTTCCTGGAGCCTCGGAGCCCACGGGACAGTGAAGGAGGGAAAGGGGAGGGAAAACATCGGTAAGCGCTCGCGAGGTGGGTACATGTGCTTGTTGTGAAAAAAACCTCTCCCCATTGCCAAGCAGATTCAAATCAGCAGTGAACAACACAAGTTCCACTGTAGCATGCTGCTGCTTCACGACCATCCTTGTCCGGTAGCCAAGCTGTCATGCCCCCCCCACACAGCACCATGACTATGGCTTTCTTCTGCTCTGCAGCTCCATGTAACGTGTGTCTCTCTCTTGCCTTGTTTTTTCTTGCCTTGCTGCAGTTTCGGGTTGCGTGCCCTGGCTGGGTAGAGCCCGGCGCATACTTGTCGGATACTTCGAGCAAGCGCTGGGCCCGTACCAATCCCACCCGCAGGTCCCGACCATCCGCCCAGGGGCTTCTGCAAAAACCACCTGACAACCACCTCGCAACCTTGTTGTGTATGTTGGAAGCCTTGTGCAGGTGCTGGTCTACACTACGCTGTGCTGAAGTACCGTTGCTGTGTTTGCACAAGAAAGATGCGAAACCGAATCTGCGGCTTCCTGGACTGAGTCCCACGCGAGAATTGCCGGTCGTCGAGGCAGCCTCAACATACAACCAAAGGTCCGGGCTTTGCCACATCAGGCCGCACGCTTACTGGATTCAAGCATTGGCATTGGCATGCTCACGGGTCGCGATTGCGGCTACGTGGCCTTTGCCTCAGGGGCCCAAGCTTACAGCTTGTTTTCCGAACATCTGTAGCATGTTCCTGGACATGCTCTTCGCTGCTGCGACTGCAGTGTCCAGGTCTCGGATTGGCCCAACTGCCAGCCGAAGAAAACACCACCACCCTGCACACCACTGCTGGCGGAGTGGAGCAGTGTCCACCCTCCGGAGAGTCAGACGCTGGGGCACTGGCGCTCTGTCGATGGCTCGCACCAAACAGAAAGCTCTGCGGTGCAGGGCTCGCAACGGGCCCTGACATCAGGTCTCGCTGTGTCTTGTGGCTTCAGACTTGATCCAGGCACGTTCGAGAGACTCCTTTTTCATCCTTCCTCAGAGCCCAAACTCGGAGTTCTCGGGCGGGGGGCCTGTTCTCGCTTTTCCAACTCTCTGCGGCCACATGAGGTATATACGTACAGGTGAGCTAAAAAGCGTCTTCTTCAGGCCTCTTATAGGGGTACCCCTAAGACATTTAGATATATCTTCGAGACCCTTCGACGGAGGCGATGCTCCAGCATCACAGGCTAGGCTCGCTCTGACAGTGCTTTCATGGCTATGTGCGAGTTGTGTCGGCGTCACGGAGCCCTGAGGCTTTCTTGCAGTCTTGTAATTGGCTTACGCATATTGGGGTATGGAGCGCTGCTGCGTGCTCGAGCCGTGATGGCCAAGCCCGGGAGTCGCGTCACGGCTTCCCCAAGCCCAGGCTGCCCCGAGCCTTCCACGTTCAGGCCCCGAGCTTCCAGGTAGGCATCCACCGCGGCGAAGGGCGACTCGCCTCAGGACCCATTCATTCCGTTCTCTCACCGAAGTCAAAGCACCTATAGATTTGGTCATGGTCCGTCTGCGGATTCGGCCCCCGGCGACGGTAGCGGGATGCCATGCTGGCGACAAGCTTCGTCGCCCCCCCTGACTCTCCCCGCTTACCAGGGGAAACATCAACTGCGAAGCCGAGACGGCCGAAGACAACGGTCGCAGCAAATGACACCTGCCAGTCCTTTCCCAAGAGCCTTTGAGCCCCAAGCCCCATAAGCCTCAGCACAACTTCATCGCTCACACGCAGCGCCATTGCATGCTTTCTTTCCGTGCTACGTGAGATCGTCCGAGTCTATGTCCAGAAAATCTGGTTAAACAGTCATTGCAGCCCTTAAAGGCTGTCACATGCTATGAGGCTGGCCCACTGCAGATGCCGCGATATGTGCACACATATCTGTCGAAAGCAGAACACCTCTCTCCCTGCCGCGCGCCAGAAAAAGGTCAGCTGAGCTGCCCCAGGAATGCAAAAATCGTGCATGCTGTCCTCCTCGTCTCGGGCCTAGGCGCTGGCCACGCCTCAGTACATTCCGGTAGGTTCTTGGATGGCTGTGGGACCGAGCTCCAGGCCAGACATCATGAAGTGGAGAAAGGGGAAGCACAGGAGGTGGAAAATCCCGTGGCTCCATCCTCCACATCAGCACTTTCCCTGATCCTCTATAGTGCTTGCTATTTCTCAGCACATGCCCTGGCGTGTGTGGGTATAGTCACTAGTGAAGTCCTCCTCCCAGTCTGAAGTAGTTGGCCAAGGCGAAAAACAGGCAGGCACCCAGCCACATCCTTGTGCCAGATTCACGGCACGCTCTTGCCACAACAGCGGTGTTACTGAATTGGGGCCCAAACGAGATGGTGGCCAGATAGTGGAAGTAGAGGCCGCGAAAGAGCAAGGGGAGCGTGTATGTAAAAACCTCGTGAAGCCGACGAATAAGTGTGAGGCTGGAATCAACAGACTCTTTCTGTGAATGCCAGAGCTCGTCTCAATCATTACACGAAGGATGCCGCAGAGGACGCGATAGCAAGTGCAGGAACCAGGAACAGGAGGGATGGAGAGAGCTTCCTTTGAACATGAAGTCTGCAGTTTGCCGTTCAAGAATCCGAAAAATGCTACGTTTGGGAAGAAGACCGCAAGTACGTGTGGAAGCCATGCTTGGGAAGGGAGAAAAAGGGGGATGGGAAACATGCTGTTGAAGCGTCGGGGCGTCGGTCGTCTGTAGCTTTTCTATGCATGCTTTGCTTCCAGCAGTCCACAGCATTCCAAACAGTGTCTTCAATGTCTCTTCTGCACGTGCCTGAGAGGTCACGCGAAGGCTCTCGTCCAGACCGCCGGGCCTGCAAACCGGTGGTTTTAGCACAGTGCGATCGGGGGTTCGACAGTTTCATGAAGGTCGTGTGAAGGTGACAGCATCCAGCCGAAGACAACAGCTTGCGCTCGGACATATGTCAGTCTTTGGAGAAATCTGTATGGAGCACAGCTCGGTTCGCAAGGCTCCTGCATGTTCGTATCAGAGAAAACTGGTCAAGTAAACGCGTCAGCACCTACAACCATTCTCAGGGCACGGTACCCAGAAAGTCAGGTTTGACTGAAAGCGTGCCAGGGGGTTGGGAAAGAGGGCTTAGGGCTTGCACTTCGAGCTTTTCAAGAATGTCCCAAATTCCAAAAGACAGTACAAGCGCTATTCAAGCTCCTAGGACATCTTTAGAAGGAATGATTCAACGGAGCCTGGACGTCGGGTTCAAGGTAATATAAGGGCCATTCTGAGGGCCTCAACGGGGTCAGTATCGAAAGCAGGGTCTCAAGGCTCCTTTCGACTCGCACACTCGCGCCGGGCTTCAGAATTCTGGGGCCGATGTCGATCTCACAACTCGGACAGGGCAGAAGGGGTTCGGCCTTTGGGCTTTCAACTCGTTCTTTCGCACTTGTCTTTGTCCACATTTTGACGTGTAATCCTGCGACTGCTTCTGACGCTTGCGATGCCAAACATGCGCCTTCCCTCCACGAGGCGGCGAAGGAGGATGAAGATGCCTCGGGGTTCATGACTGTGAGAGCAGCATCAAACTGTTTGGAAGGCCCACAGACAACTCATCTGAACGTCTGACCCGCTTTCAGTGCAGAAGACAGCACTTAAACTGCCCGCTACTCTTCACGACTCGTCCCGGTCTCTTTGGTCCGCGCATGGCGCGTTGAGCATTGCCATGAAGAGGGTGAAGATCAGGCTGCCGCCGCTCAGGGCCCAGCCAAACACGACGCAGTCTGACAGGACGGTGCAATGTTGTGAGATGGTGTGGGGCCGCACTTAAAGTGCACTGACGACGTGCTTTGGCCTAAAGGGTCTGGTAAGCAGACAGCATCTCACGCGCAGTGCAGTTATAGCTATTGCGCTAACTCTGGCCAATTCTTTGTGCCCGCAGTGACAGCTGCCCTCAAGTGCAGACGCTTAGATAATTGTTCGTGCAGAGCTGTTAACCCCACGGTCTGTCGGCCAACAGGCAAGAGTAACAACAGAGCTTCGACCTCTCCTTCGGGGGACAACAACACTTTCGCGTGTCCGTACATCTTCTTAGTGAATACGTGTTAAATCTGCACAGCGAGTGTATGCTCAATCCCGAGACGAAGACGATTCTGCGATTGCGTTGAAGCGGCTGATGTGGATCGCTGTGATGTCCATTGTGCGAAACGGAGTGCACATGGGGTCATAGCCATCGCGCCTTAGCCATGCTGTAAAGCTCCACCGGGCAATGATTTCATGCATCTGGACATGCAGCATCCAAACCGTCAAACTCCCTCTAGAATGTTCTCGCTCTGCTTGTTTGTGGCATTTGCTGTATCATCGCCCGTCTGGCTCAGGCGCTTGTTCATCAGGGCAGAAGCGAGGTGGCATGCCATGCTGAAGGGGCAGTGCATCATGGTGCCGATCGCCAGCGCCCAGACACCTTCAAGGGACTTGAGCGATCAAGTGACCGCAAATGCCTTTCAGCGTTGAAACTAGAGGCCCTCGTGCGAGGTAAACAAAAAAAGGCAAGTCTTGCACACCGGGTCACCTTCCGGGAAAACTGCGTTGGAAGCAAGCTCAGGCGCAGCGTGTAAGGCATACAAGGAAGGAGCCGCCATGGTCAAAGCACTAAAGACCTGCGCAGGACACTGCCACTCCACTCAACCTAGACGCATGTACAAAAAATCTACGCACATCCGGCCCCGTTGAGAATGATGCATTTGTCGTGAAGACTGGCAATGCTCTTCTTTCCCAGTCAGCTGCTTCGTGTTTACAATTCACAATGCAACTTCCATGCCCCGGCCCAGCGCAGTTGGACCGCAATATTTGCTGCGATTTCGGAGGCTGTGATGCTTTCCCAGCCTCTGGCCAGACTACCGATCCAATTTCAAACTCGAGCTCCAGGAACTGCAGGAGCGACCCCAGGAAGAGTGAGCGCTGTGCCTGAGCTTTCTGAGACCAGTCGGAGTCTCCCCGGAGTCCCCTGCCTGGCCTTCACGGCCTTGAGAGATGGGGAGCTTTCATCTCCTCGCAGGCTCTGGGAGCTCGGGCCTGGCGAGGGCACCGCTTTCGAGCACCCCCGGAGGTAACAAACACATGACATGCTCGTCAGCTTGGCGGCGCCTGCAGCTTTCAGTCGCTGCTTCGCCCTGGTCTCCGCACGCATCTTCCTACTAGCTAGCAGCTAGCTCTTTGGCGAGGACCTTGAATGGAGATGGGCATCGGTCCAAGGCACCATGACAAGAGCCTCAACAGCTTAGAACAGATGCAGTCAACTAGTCATGCGGACTCCTGTAGGTGGGCCAAAGCATCACCAAGTCGATCAATTGCAGCACGTCTCGTGAACAGGCAGACATGCCAGAGTACAGTACAGCAATCAGAAAGAACCCTGGCTCTAGCACGGATTCCGACTTCGAGAAGCAGATGACCACTGAGACCCGGAACCCTTGGTTTTTTGTCTTGCCGCGTTTCGCCAGACAAAGACTCTGCAGTCTTCGGCAGTCTGCCAGCCGCGGCACTCACGGCATACCTGGAGATGGCATTTGAGGTTGTATTAAAATTAAAAAACGGTGTGAATCCCTTCCCCAAACTAAGTTATCGTTTTTCCTTCCTTATCGTTTACGAGGTATCAAGGGCTGTCACGTATGACAAGTGTTTTTTTGCATAGGCTAAACTAAACCTCACGAAGGGCAGCCTAGGCTAATCTACAAGAACCTCCCTTGTTATACAACCTCATCTGGGCGTTCTGGGACGCAAAACCGACTTTATCTTGTGATCATATCACGGCACTAGTGAACTCGACCCGGAGATGGGTAATTATGCTGGGTTTGGATCGACCATCTTTCTCTCTTAAAGTCCGGCCTTCTCCACGCGATAGCTGAAACTTTCCAAGCTTGTGCCTTTCATCTCCTGAAGCCCAGCTCTCTCTCCGAGACAGGCCACGAACAGACTTGGACCGAGGCTCTGGCTGCAAGCTGCCGCGCCAGCAGGTCATTGGAGGGGCGGTCCGAAGCACCGTAGACGAACGTCTGGCGAAGCCAGACTCAGCAAAAACAACGCAAAGGCGCGTTCTTCAGAAAGGAGCTAGGGGAACCCATCCGGCTGCCACCGCTTTCTCGACAGCCTCGCAGGGACTCGCAGTGCCGAGCTGAGACCTCTGAGTCTCAAGTCCCTGTTTTTATTGGCACAATGGAAAGCCTCGAACAAGGAGTCGACAGAATCATCTGCCCACAACAAATCCTTAGAACCGTGAAGAGATGGCTGTCGAGTAGCCGGGAAACCGCTTCATGGGCAGCAGCATGAGACGTTGTTTGCTTGAGTTCGGCTAGCTCTAGGGAGTCTCTTATCATCTATCCTGCTCTGACATTGGCCCAGCAATGCCCGGCATCGGAGGCAAACCTGCTTCAAACCGGATGCTCCGTTTTGTTTCTGAAAGGATCGTCCCAATTGTCCTTGTCACGCGCATGGGCGGGCATCTTCGAAGTTGAATGTGAGCAAGGTCCCAGGTAGGCACACAAAGCCATGAGCAGTTCAGCCCTGCCTGACAGCAAAGGACAGTGTTTGGCCGTACCAAGCTGGGTTCCAGGCAGCTCCCAGAAGAAGGCCCGGATCCGGGTCTGCCAAGCGCCTCGCCAGCCGCCCAAAACCCCTCTGAGCCGCTGGGATTCCATGACTTTTTGGTGCTTTGATGAGCTGGGCAGCTTGGTGCGCCTAAAGCTGCGGTTCTTGTAAGGCTGGGACGAAGTGGCCTCTTCCAGGCCATCATCCTGGATTGTAGGGACTGAGGACCATCGGATCGAGCTGGGTCACCGAGCAATCGAGGCAGCCGGGCCCAGTCCAAGACTTGTGCGCGGACATCCAAGCCTTCAGCACCGCTGCTTACATCCCGCTAGCCTTCTTCCTTTGACATCCTGAGGTCTTGCTTACCAGGTGGTCAGAACCAGGGCCAGGGTCGTGGCAACTTCCCAGCTCCGCAGTGGCCTGGTCTCAGCGCGGACGGACAGTCAAGATCACTTGGGCATCTTCTGGAGTGCATCGCACAGCGCCCCTCTGACTATGAGCCGCTCACTCTGCGCAAAGCCGGTGCCCAACGGTTCCCTGAAATCGTATCTGAGGCGACCGCGCGCAGACTCCTCCCCAAAGCTTCACACACGTCCTCCTCGAGTCACTGCACGAGCCGCGGAATTGCACCATTGCCCGTTGACCCCGACCCCTACACACCACAAACCCCCCAAACTCCTGGAGCCCCTCTGTCCTAAAAATCCCAGGGAGGATCCTCCAAGTCTGTGACCATCCCAGAGCATCCGAGAGCGGCTGCTGCGGCGAAGCCTAGAAGCCCTCGCCCAGCCTTAGAACTCCGGAATTTCAACCAACACCGGATGAAGTGCTTCGTTACTGATCTTATCGTCGTGCCCCCCCCTTTCCCATACTGTATCATGAGCCACTTCCATTTCGAGTCGTTTTTCGTGTGTTGCTTACATTCGGTGGGTGGTGCCACCACCAGAATCCCCACAAGCTGTTTCACTCATCTTTCCGGCTCTTCACGTCTGTTGCAAAGCACCTCGCCTGGGCTCGCAGGTTCAACCACGTTTAAGCACCTGCATATGCACCTGCCAACCTGCATGCCTGCCTTACCTACGCACGTTTGGACGACCGAGAATGACATTGCCTCTAAGTCGAAAATCTGTCACAGTGGGGGAGTCCACTTCAAGAAGTCTCAGCCTAGCGCCCCGATTTCGAGCACTGGACCTGAAGCTCGCAGACTTCAAGACATGCCGCTCGCGCAGGCACTGCCAACAACATGCCAAGCCCAGTGTCACTGGCCTCGAAGCTCTGGCATGTTAAGCACAACCCCTCGGCAGGAGCTCGAGAAATTCAAGCTTGCAATCAGAGATCTTCGATGCGGCTCTACTTGCAACAGGAGGCCCTGGCCAAGAGCTGCCATGCAAGATCCGGACACCACACCTCCCAGAACGGGAACTGGCCTCACGGCAGCGGTGGCTCCCAGGCTGAATCTTCTCACTCGCTCTGCCCAGGTCACGCATGTGCACTTGGCGAACATGCCTCTGATCTAAGTATGATTGGGCTGATGGAGCCTTCTTGGTGGCATCAGGCTCAGTGGCTTCAAGCCGGCAACCTGAAAGTCATGCAATGTCGTGATTCATGATTATTGAGTATCAAGCAAGCAACCGATGGGCAGAGAAAAGGAAGGCCGCGCATGCTGTCATGGTGGCAAGCAGAACACCGGACAAGGGCTCAAGGTAACAGTAACGACCGCGTTACAGCCCCAACCACGAGCAGAAGGAGAAGAACAAGAACAGCAACAAGAACAAAACCTAACAAGAAGAAGATGAAGCCTCGTGTCTAGATTCTCTAGACGAGAAGGAGGCGGCTCAAGCGGGCCAGGAGGGCGGAGACTCGCAGGCCTCGTCGGCTCGAGCTCCGGCTTTGGGTTTGCTCAGGCTCAGGAGTCGGCACTACCATCAAGTTCTCAAGTTCAGCACAGCCTGCATACATGTTGCCGCGAGAACCGATCAGCTACCAGTGCTGCCTCTGGGAGGGCTATAGGCTCCATAAGATCCGGCAGCATAACAACACTACACCAGACTCTGCTGCTAACTTGCAAGAATTTGTACATCGTGCGACCCACTTGCCATCAATTGCACTACCTCCACAAAACCATCGGAAACAGCAACCCCAGTTAGCAATTCCCTTGCCCATTTTGGGTAATGACTTATTATTAGCAATAATACCACCAGTCAACCCATTAATAATCCTATACTCCCCCCTAAATATCACCAGCTACATCACCACCACTTCCCATTACCAAAACAAGTAGAGGAATAGCCAGTTACCTCATCCATATAAAAGGATTATTCCCATACGTACTCCCTACTAATTACAATAGCCCCCAAACATCACTATTGCTTTCCCATTACCCAGCCCAGTATAGGAATAACCAATTACCTCATCCACAATAGACGATTCTTCATACACTCCCCCCCCTATGTCTCACCCGCTATAGCACTACTACTTTCCCATTACCAAGACCAGTACAGGAATAACGGAATAACCGATTGCCCCATCCATATTCCCTAAGGTGGCATTATCATTCCAGAATGGGCAAGGCTTCCCTCACAGATTTTTACTCGGCTTAGGGGCTTAGGGTTAAAGGTTGTAATCATGATCTACTCATAGTGCAATACCTCGTATAAAGTATGCTTGTATTATGCTTGAAAAAGCGTTATCCGACACCGACGGAAATAGCCCTAGGTTGAGTTATCATCATCCACTTAAAACGGGCAGCGGCTGCTTCATAACATTCTATGTGTCTAGGAGACGATGCAAACATAGGGTACTGTCCACGGGCTAGAAAGATCTTAGATAATATTACATCAACGGAGCGTTTCACTACTGACATATGCACACTAGACAAGCACTTTATGTATGACTACTGCACAACGTGCCAATCAGCACAGGGTGCGTCCATAGACAGTCAGATCATAATCCATGAGTGGGATAAGCAACACCTAGTAACTCGTGAATGGATATGGTGCGCTCTTACCAGAAGCACAGACCTTTTAACATGGTAAGGTTCGTCAAAAGTGTAGCGAACTGGAAAGAACCAGCTGAAGAAACTTTAACCTTTACAAAGTACATCACAACTAAAATCAAAGAATTACCAGACACAAGATTATAATGCTGATAGTGGTATGGATGTTGACAAGCATGTTAATCACGACATCCAAGCCAATAGAACCGACAGCGTTTGCGGTCAGGGGTAGGGGTTTGGGTGCGGGGTTTCGGGACACAGAGCTGACCTGGGTCAAACGAGGCACCTTCGCTGCTCTCTTCCATGGAAATGCTCAGCTCGGAAGAATGGGGCACAGCCTCAACATCTGGCGCTCAAGGCATTAATGCGATCTTTGTCGGCAGTTCTCGAACCATGGCCTCTTCGACCAAGCCGCGGGGACAAGTGTAAAAGTCATACTGCGCCCGCTCCTCGAGAACTCAAAAGCATATGGATTCGACACCTGCCCCGCAAGCAACCGAAGCCCACCAAGCAACGTAAGGAAGAAGTACAGCAAAGCCAGGAGAGCTTTCCTACGAGTTCAAATCCCAATCGACCCAAAAAGAATTCTTTAAAAACCAGCCGTCCTGACACTCACATGGCAGCCGGCCGGTGCTGGCATCCAGCTGCTCATGCATCTAAGATCTGCGTAATTACGACGACACGAACTCTTCGATCTTCGTACTTTCGATCAACCCCGAAGATGAATTTTGGAGATGGGATCACGTTCAGGGCAACCTATTTTCACTTCTGTTGCGTACTGTAGCGTACTGCTGCTGGCAGCTGCGATCTCGCTGCTGATTGGAGGACTGGACGTCCTCAATTTCCGACCGGGGAGTTATAGTTGATTTCTGCGGGGCTGCAACGGCAACTTCTGAATGCAAGCTGTCGCGTGCGATTTCTGGAGCATTCGTCCATGTCGTGTGAAACTGCGGCTGCTTCTTGCAGACCTTCAGGTGGGAAAATCATTATGAAGTGTGCTAAGACTAAAGACCGCCTGCTCCAGGCTGGTGGTTGTATGTACATGTAACAGTAACAGGTCACTCTCGGCCGTCTTGTCCGCGTATTGCCCCGCATCTGCTGGGATATCTCGAAAATACGCAGCTTTCGAGCCTTACAGGGTTGATGCAAGGATGTCCTCCTGGCCAGGGATGGCGGGGTTCAATTGGCGCCACCGGCGAAGGCCAAGCACAACGCTCTTGAGGTAGCTGCTCTTCGAATCTTCGCCAAGGAAGGACCCTGGAAGCGTGACCCAGCGGAGAAAGCAGTCCTTGATCACCACAGAGCTGCCAAGGACCTCATTGAGACGAGGCTCCAAGGCGACGAGCTCTAGGGTGGGGAGCTCGAAACACCACTTTTGCTCCCTCCTTCCTTCCTCATCCGGATCGCAGTCTGCCTCAAAAACGAGGCCACGGACCCCACACAGGAGACCCCACAAGTGCGCGACCTTTTCAGGTGCCATTGCGGGCAGCATTACCTCTGCAAGGGACCAGGGTTCCTGAAGGCCCGGTTCAGCTGCCATGTCCAAGGCGGATGCCAACAAAACGCGTCGAGCGAGAGCGCTGCAGTCCCGGGCCCAGCGGAAGCTGGGTGTAACGGTGGCGTTCCCTGGATCCTGATTGCTGCCCTGCCCTGGTGACCTCATCAAAATCGCTTGCTGGCTTGGCATTGTCTAGACGACTGGTACTCGCATCAAGAAGAGGTCCAGTGACACGACTGCAACATTGCAAGATGCTTTCGAAACTTAAAACAAAAGCAAGCGGCGAGGTGAAGCCGAGGTTGAAGCGGATGCCTCGCAAAGGCTCCTCACAGATCGCACCCTCGGCAGAGGCCCAGCGGCAGGCTCCAACCATCGCGGCTCCGGCTGCTGCCTCTCTCAAGTCGCTGTCGCCTGAGTTTGAAACCCATGTTTTATACGTGGTCTCTGAGGGCACTCATTTTGAAGATGACAGTGTTACTGTATATAGCTTTCTGTAAGGAGTTGAAGAAGGGTAGCACGACGAACGGCATGAGTCGGCATGAGGATCCTGGAGGTCCCTGTCTGAGGCTCCGACCCCGAACAAAGATATTCGTGCCGCACCCGTCAGCAGGGCCGCAAGCCCAGAGGTTCTGACTATCTTCAAGGGCCCAGTTGTAGCGATCCGCAAGCATTAGCGCCCGCTGCCGCGCACGGGCTCGGACAAGTGGACCGCCCTGCCAGGGCTTTTGGAGCAGAGGAGTGCTTTTTGCTTCTGTGTTTTTTTCGTCGCCTCATCGAGCTCCTGGCAAAGTTCCTCTTCCAGGCTCCTGGCAAAGGAGAACTGAGAGGAGGAGCTGAAAATCAGAGCTGCTTTTTCTTCTGAGGGCGTGGCAGTGCTTCGGCAGAACACCGAAAGCTGGGCGCCAAGATCTCCGAGGTGGCACCGGCAGCGCGGACGGTCTCTTTGTACTCTACGCCATAGCTGCAGTCGCCCAATCCTCTCCGCGATGTCACGTACTCAGGCTTGTCATAGACGAGCTCAACCTGCAGACCCCCACGCCCAAGTCGTTACGTACCAGCCCCACCAACCCGAACAAACATTAAGTTAAATTAACGGGGCCCGGGGAATATATAAATTGAGGGGTTGGGGGGGGGCGGGGGGGTTCGATCTGGGCTCTTCACAGCAGGGACTCAGCATGGACTGCTCTCTGACTGCTCAAAACAACCGCTCAAACCCAGAACACCCCTGAACCCAGAAACCCCAAACCCCTGAAGCCTAAACCCCTAAACGCAGAAACCCGCACCCCCGGAAGCCCTCACCCAGAAACCCTAAACACCTGAGTCCCAGAAGCCCTAAACCATGCTAAACCCAATACCCCTCAACCCCTGAACCCAGAATCCCTAAATCAAGAAAACCAAAACCTCAAACCCCTAAACCCAGGAACCAACCCTGAAACCAGAAACTCTAAACCCAGAAGCCTTGAACCCATAAATCCTAAAACCCCTCAAGCCCTGGTCATCGGGAGATAGAGGTTTGGAAACGGATCAACGGGGATCCCAGTGCTCTGGGGCCTGGCTCTCTTGTTCACTCTACGATAACTGCGTGATCACCGTCGTTTTTCGGAGCAGGGCTCCGCAAATGTTGCCACGAGCATCCAAAGAAGCCCTAACCCAGAAACCCGTTGTTGCCGAAACGGATCTATCATGATCTACCCCCGCCCCGTTACGTTCGGCAACCCAGGGGGATCCAAGACAGCCAGCAGAAATGTATGTCTGAGCCCTTGCAAAACGAGCTTCCGGGCCCAACCCTTGGAATTGCCGTACGGCCACCCTGAATATACATTCTTGGGCATGGCCCTAGCTGCAGGGAGGGCCCGGTATACGCTCTCTGCAGCGCGGGCCAAGACCCAAGACCTTCCCGCCTCTTCAGCAAGTTCTGCTGCCAGCTCCCTGATGCAGGTGCTGAGGTGAAGCTCCCCGAGGCCGCTGATGACGTGCTCGCCCCACTCTTCCGCGCGGCAGCGCGCCGCGGGATCCGAGGCGCTGAGCTGGCGCAGGGCTGCGACCAGCTTGGGCAGGTCCTCCGCATGCTTCGGCCGAACGGAGACTCGTACTAAGGGGCGCAGCTGCGGTGCCATGGCCAAACCGGAATTGCTTGGAAGGCTTTCGTCCAACAAAGTCCCGGACTTGAAGATGAGGTGGTCAGGCCCCGTCACAAGTACCAGGTTTCCTGCTGGAACCATCTCCAGAGGCTCAGCGAAGCAGGAAAGAGGCATCGCCAGCTGCTCGATTGTCGCGCTGCCCATCCCCTTGGTCCCCATCCCATCGCTTTCCGTGCACCTCACACGCTGGCACCGGCTTGCACAGCCACAGAATACCCGGCCCAGCGCGTAGGATCTACCCTTCACCGCGGCCGCAGGAATCCGGCGCGCGACGGCCAAGATCAGCGGCCCCTGAGGCGAGCAGCTGCACCTCGGCGCAGGGTGGGGAGGAAAGCCAGGAGGTTGGGCCCACCCGCCCAGCTTCTTTGTAAGTAACACGGGCAGCTGTACTGACCTGAAAACGTAAACGTTGGGCTTGGACGAGTCGAAGCTGGCTTCAGCAGGGCTATGGCCCCACTATTTCTGTTGAAAGCATCCTAGAATCCTAGACCTAGAGAGGTGTTCTCAGCCTCCACCATCACTGCCAGGGGGCAGCGCAGTGGCGGCCTCCCCTTCGGGTGTTCCGAGGAAGAGATGCTGAGCACGTCCGGCGCCCTGAGCCTCTGCATACATGGCAGCGGACGCAAACCCCCTTGCCTGGTTTCCTCGGCCTGGCGCGGAGAAGGAAGCCGGTAAGCTAGCAGCTGACACATCACCTCGCAAACGCAAGCTTGTTTGACCAAAACGTACGAAAGCCAAGCCGGCCTGGCTGGCATCTCCATCTGCCAACCGCTTCATGATCTTTGTGACCAGCGAGTGGTACGCCAGATATTTTTCCTGATGTCAGCTCTTCGCCAAGCCGAGACCCCGCTCGCAATTCAGAAGCTCTTCGCTAAAGCCGAGACTCCCCGTAGCCAAGGGCTGGAAGCCTCAGCCCTTCAAGCATGCTGCGGGCGAGCTCCCAGTCCTTCCGTAGCAGGACCGCCTTTTTTCTAGGAAACGGACTCGCGCGTGTGCCTGACGGCGAAAGGCCGCGCAGAGCTGCAGCAGTGGCTCTAATACCAACTGCCGTAGCAAAGGCTCCTGGAAGGCCAGACTTGATTGCCGTGCAACCCGATGACACTTGACTCTACTCCGTCCATTCCTCCTCTTCCTCAGAGTCGACCGTGTCCTGACAAACACTCCGACGGGATCCAAAATAGGATCCGACAGCAGGTGTGCGTGCGTCCATGGCCCTCTCGCCTGCGCGACTGCTTGACGGCCTGCACACCAAAGCCGACGACTAAGCGCCTGGGCTCGCAACTCGTGCAAAGCCTCACTGGCGGTACCAGTATTATAGGGTTCACAGACTGACTCAAAGGTGACCATGATTCAGATCTGATCCTATTCTGGGCTGTCGCGCCCTGGCCTGCAGGCTTGTCCTACTGAATGGTGATACTAGCAATGAAAAGCCGGAGGGACTCAACCATGCCATGCGCTAGAAATTCATCAAGAGAAATCCACAGCAAGCAATCAGGTGAAACTTGGCCACGGGTTGATCAGAGCTTTGTATAGCAACAGTGTTTGAAGATCCCAGGTAAGACTTGGGCTGCAGCAGCATACGCCCGAGACCCTAGTGGATACAGGCGGCGATCAACGGCCTGCCAAGCCTGAGGTGGGCGCAGTGGTTTTCAAGCCGTACCTGTCCTGAGCATCATCCCAGGGCCATCTCACACATTGGCCCGCCCAAACGCTCTTGAAGAGAAAAACATCTGGTTTATGCTGAAGCAACCACAGTCCTTGAAGTTCCGAGCCAACAGTGGCAAGGAAATCATCCAGCCTGCTGACGTACAGCGCCGCAGACAGTCACAGCCACAAGCAATCCCTGCCCGCTGACCCCTGGTCACTCCGAAGCCTCTTGCACGCCATCTGAGGCTTACTCTCTGCCCCTGGCACTGCCCCTGCAGCCTCACCTCAGCAGCCTCCCTAAGCTTGCGCCGCCTTCCTTCAAGGCACAGCCCTCCATGCCGAATCGTGCTGCCGCCTTGAAAAACAGAACGCCACCGCAGCTGATAGGATCTGCTGCAGACGCTGCCCCCTTACAAAACACCGAACCTACCAGCATTAAGCCGAAAAGCTCCAAAAAAGCCCTGAAGAACGGCCCTCAAAACTTCCCTCGCTCTCACCTTGCGTGGTGCTTCCGAAGACCAGGTCCCCGAGCTCAGGCCGGATCTCAGATGCCAACAGCAATAAAACAAGAGAGAGAGAGAGAGAGAGAGAGAGACAGAGAGAGCCTAAATGTTTGTAGGCGGGATTTCTAAGCTTTCCGAAAACTGATATGCAGCTCTCGGGGAGGGAGAAAGCGAGAGAGAGAGAGGGAGGCACATCCATATACCTGTGCGTGTTTACACCTCATATATATATATATGACTTTTATATATATATATATGTGTGTGTGCAGAGATCTGTCCATCTTTCTACAAATACACACACACATCTGTGAATATAAATCAATATATATATATGTATATATACACATACATACACACACACACACATATATATATATATGTGTGTGTGTGTGTGTTGGTGTGTGTGTGTGTTGGTGTGTGTGTGTGTGTGTTGGTGTTGGTGTGTGTGTGTGT